AGGGGGTTAAACATCACAGCAGAAGGGAGGGAGGGAGGGAATAAAGGCACAGCCCTGGAGAACAGTACTTTTAGTTTGGTGCTGAGAAGTGTGGCTGCAGGTCTGGGGACTGCCCGTCACTGAGCCCCAGTACCCACAGACTTTGCTGAAGCCTGATTCAGGAGTTGGGAACCTGAGTGCTGTGGTCAGCAACAGGTGCCTAGTGCCCACAGTCTGGAGACCCTCAGATGGGGTGGGTTCTCGGGCCAATGCCCAGACTGCATGCAAGGTGCCCAGGGTCCAGCCCTGACCTGCAGGACCCCTGAAAACTATCATTGGCAGTGACCCCAAGCATGGTCATTTGTGGCCCAACTATTTCAAAATAGGAAAGTGAGGAAAGAAAAAGATCCTCATCCAGCCATATCAACTGTGGGCAGAACTGAAGGCTCTGCCTTGCTGCTCTGATGGCGGGCTCTGCCTAGGCTGGTAAGCGCTGCTTCAAGGGTGCAGTGCACACATCATTGCAACAGGAAGGGCTGGTGACTCCACTGTCCCGATGAAGGCCCAAACGGACAAGCAATGGAAGAGAAAGCAGCCAAGACAGTAACTTAGCCCGGTGTGACTGCGTGCCACTGCTAGCCTCAGCCCCGAAGGGGAGCAAGTGAAAATCTCACATGCATTAGCCCAGCAGGCAGAGGGGCTGGCCCGGCTCTGGCTAAACCATCTGCAAATCAACCGGGTGTTGTTCTTGTCACTGGTGCGATTGGGAAGAATCTGTTCCAATTCTGGGTCCCACAGAAGTGGGGGGACTGGGCAGAAGCTCAGGGGGAGCGGAGCTGACCACCACATATGTGGCTATGTGCTGCTCAAGCCTTTGAGGCAGGCCCTCCAACAGCCTTGGTCACCCTGGGCAGCAGCTGTGCTGGCAAGAGGACGAAGACCCTCTCCTGGGATCTGAGATCTGGGATCCCAGGAGTTGGCCACCTCCTTGTGTGGAAGGGGTGAGTCACAGGCCTCCTCTGGACTTGGTTGCTCTCCTTCTACTGGACACTCTTCCCTGGTCAGAGTCAAATGCAGCAGCCTGGAGACAGAGCACCGGCCTTGTGTGTGTGAAGCCTGAAGTTTGATCCCTGGCACCACTCTACCAGCTAAGGTCTGGGATGCCCAGTGACACAACCAAGTGTGGCAATGCCACACCTACTTGTGCGGCAACACTAAAGAGGTACAAGGGGTCCAGACCGTGGCATGGTGTCCACACCGTGACATGGAGACCACACAACCTCATACTCTGAAACAGCAGGGGGAGTGGAGGAGAAGGGCCTCCTGGCACTAGTGGAGGAAGCGGGTACACTGGGGGTCAGTGTGGTGTCAGCACTGGACGGGACAGAACTATCACAGTGCTGGAAAACATAGACCATGTACCTCGATAAAAATGGGGGTAAAGAGAGTGGGAGCAGTACTAGCAGGTGAATTATTCAGTCATTGATGCTTGTCATTACCAGGAGTTGGGGTAACCCAGGATGCACCCCCCGTGGTGCATGTGGTGCTTGTCATCAGAGCGACACAGACACGACTCCCCCTCCTGTCTGTGCTTTGGCTGCAGCACCCATGCGTGGGTGGTGTGCACAGAACAGGGAATCCCACCTGAGGCTCAAGACTGCAAGGCAGGAAGGAATTTTGCCACTCAGTCACCCCCAGGGGACTGGAAAATGCCTTTCTGAGGCAATGAGCTTGCTCAGGTAGCCCCGGCCCTTAATGGCCATGCCGCCCACTCCCTCAGCCTGGCCAGCCTTCAGTGCTGCCTCTCTGGCTGTGCATGGCAGATGGGCAGGAGCAGGATACCACAGCACGAAACGGAAGGATGCGGGAGTGCTGGTCTAGCCCACTGGCAGATTTTGGTGCCACCCTGGCAAGGGCTGATGCTGGATTTCGTGAGTCAGGACAAGTGCAGGCCAACTGTCCCACAGGGACCAGGCGTGTCTCAAATCCCAACCACAGGAGTGGGCTGTGCAGACCAGTTCCCTCCCGCATCTCTGCTCCCACTGGCTCCAACGGGCTGCAGGACTAGCACAGAGACATTGGGGCACAGAGACCTGCATACGTGCGAGGGGGACCCGAGTCAGAAGCGAGGAGCAGCACAGGACAGGACCCCCAGTCCGTTCACTCACTGATCACCCCACAGTCCCTCTGCCCACTTCCCACCACCCAGTGGGCCAGCCCTCAGCTCAGACAGGAGTCAAGATGAGGCAGTCTGGCTGACGTCGGGGGACTGAAGATGATGGGCGGGTACAGACAGCACCAGACCCACACCAAGGGCAAGACTCACAGAGAGTGGATTGTGACTGGCGACGGAGCAACAGTCACCATGCTGCCAGTTGGGAGTGGGTTCTAGAACCTGAAACCATTAGGTTTGGAAACCAAAGATATCTCAATCGAGAGACTGAGAGAATACGGAGAAGTGAAACTTAGAAAGGGACCAGGGGACAGCACAGAGGTTAAGGCAAGTACTTTGCTCCCACATAGCTGACACAGGTTTGATCCCCAGCACCCCACATGGCCCCCTTAAGCCCTGCCAGGAGTGATCCCTGAGCACTTCCAGGCATGCTCATAAAAGAGTCAACAATGTGCTGGAGCTCGAGACCCGACAGCAAATGCTCCTGGACCCCTAATCTGTTTTTTGCAATAAGGGATGTGACTGGGGACAGCTGGAAAAGCGAGCCCCTACTATAGGCAGGTCACCACAAGATGAAAGCTGCTCCCCTGAGGCTGACAAGGCCACAGTGCCAGGAAGGGAGTGTTTAGAAAAATTAGACTACTTTAGATAAGTTCAATGGTATCACAGCAGCAACTGTAATACATTTCAGAAGAAAAGATACAAAGTACTGAGGAGGTTCCAAATGGGGGGGGGGGGGGAACGGGGACAGGGGGACGGACACACGACAACACGACGACGGACGACGACCATCATTCAGTCAAAAACTTAACTTAACTTTAGCTGTATCATCCCATTTGAAATTTTTAGACTTTCTGGAACGCTTGGCCAGAGACATCTCAAACTTTACAACACTGATAAACTAGGAGTAGCACACCAGATCGAATGGAATGGAATGTAGAAGGCAGGCAATCTCCAATCTCCATTCACAAAACAGAAACACAGAAGGCTTAACCTGCAGCAACATCTTAGTAAACACTTATACAAAGCCTTAATGGCTCCACGGTGAGATACACCAATCTTCACTAACTTTCTTCTAAGGAAACTTTTGATCATTCTGTTAGCAAACTATTGATAACAAGCAATATAAAATAAATTACCGGGGGCTGCTATGGGGATAGGCTTAAGGGCTGGTTAGGAAAACTGGAGACAATTGTAGAGGGAAGGTGTAATGTGATGGATTAGTGTTGGAATACTGAATGCCTGTAACAAATCATCATGGACAACTTTGCAAATCACAGTGTTTATAAAGTGTAAGAGGAAAATAAAATTAAAAAAAATTAAGTTTGGATGGAATAAGCAATATAAATTCGTTATGTGCCTAAGGGGGCAGATTGGGCTTAGGAGGGAAACTGAGGATATTGGTGGAGGGAAGGTTACACTGGTGGTGTTGAAATACTAAATGCTTGAAACAAATGTGTAATGAACAACTTTGTAAGTAACAGTGTTTTAATAAAAATTAATTTAAAAAACATACAGGGAAAAGTATAGCCTTCCCCAAAGCTTGATCTCTTGCAGCATGTGATTTTAGGTATCCTTTCCCCTCTTCAAAGGACACAAACTATTTTTATTTTTATATGTGTATGTATACGCGGGAGGGCAACAAGTCAGGCCTGGGGGATCCTTCCTCTGACCACCCCTGCCTTGGTTTCAGATGGGCTACATCGATATTCTTTTTTTTGGGGGGTCTCACCCGGGGATGCTCAGGAGTTACCCCTGGCTCTGCACTCAGGAATTACTCCTGGCGGTGTTCGGGGGACCATATGGGATGCTGGGAATCAAACCCGGGTCGGCCCTGTGCAAGGCAAACGCCCTACCCGCTGTGCTATTGCTCCAGCCCCTACATCAATATTTTTTTGGTTTTGTGGTCTTATTTTTTCTGGGTGCTTTTGGGCCATATCCAGCCAAGCTCAGGGGCCACACTCTGTATGGTGCATGGAGGCAATGTGGTACTGGGGACCACGATTGGGGTGGGCCTCTGGCACAAAGAGAAAGTGCTGGGACTCTCTGGGTTCTCTCTGGGGCCTGGATAAGCCTATCTTCTTGAGCTCGACTATTAATGCTTAAGAATGCACGTGCGTCCGAGATACCTCCTCTCCTCAAAGTCCCAGCTTGGAGAGAGTCCAGGAGAAAGAAAAGGGCAAAAATGGGAGCTCATGGGGCTTCACGAAGCCAGAGAGACTCTATGGGAGCTGCGGGTAACACAATGCTGTGAAGGAACACATGTCAAATGCTGTCACTTGGGGTGGAACAGATCCTACAGGGGTTAGGGCCAAGGCATTTGCCCTGCACACAGTCTACTCTAGTTTGGTCCCCAGCATGGCATATCGGCCCCTAAGCACTGCTGGAGCAACCCCTGAGCACAGAGCTAAGGGTAGCTCCCAAGGACTACAAGGTGTGGCCCTAGCCGGCTCCTGCTCCTGCATGTGGGTTTCATAAAATCTGAGGGCAGGGACCAGAGCAATAGAACAGTGGGGAGGACATCCACCTTGCACAGGGCCAACCCAGGTTCGATCCCTGGCATCCTATAGGGTCCCCAGAGCCCCGCCAGGGTGTGATCTCTGAGTGTGGTCGCATATTAATTACCCAAAAAGAAAAAAAAAATTCTGAGAACATCCTGCACGGACATCACCCCCATAATGTCAGGGGCTGACCATCAGCTGCTACCTGATGAGAAGGTATGACCATTCCCATCACTGCCCACAGCGTATCCAGGACATCATCCTGGACACACGGTGACGTGGAGGACGGGAGGCGCCCATGTTGCTTTCGGTGGACAGACTCCCCGGCAGATGGCAAATCTTCTTACCTGTGGCCTCAATGTACTCGATACATCTCTCGATGAAGACAGGGATGGGCTTCTCCGGAGTCACCACAGTGGTCAAGGGCACTCCAAAATAGTTGCTCTCCCAGGTTGCCTTTGTGATGGATGGCCGAGGTTTAGGCTTTGGTTTCTGTCCAGGAGAGAAACGAAAGCATGAGAAGAGTGAGTATCAACACATGCCAACTTCAGTGTCAGCACAGCCCAGTCCTGGAGATGCAGGGGCTGCCGCAAAGACCCCAGCGGGACAGGGACGCATATGCAGCCAGAGCTGCTTTCATTCACTCGGTTCTTTGGAGCCTCTGAACATCACAGGACACCGGCAATTTGCCACAGAGTCACACATCAACTGCTTTGGAGAACAAAGGTGTTTATAAGAAGCCAGTCATGTTTATCTAATAACAGGGAGATGACTATCCACATCCTTGATCGGGCGCAAGGGGGCAAACAGGAAGTTTTCCAAACATCCCATTTGGATAAGAGATGTACATGAGAGATGGCTGAGCTCTTCAGAGAGATAAAAAGTGAAGTGGCAATGGATGGCTTCCGCTTGGCGTAGGAGAGTGTCCGCACGCTGAAAGGGCCGAGGGCCCTGGGTAACACTCGCGAGGCCGGGCTAGCTGCCCAGGTTTCCCCCTTAGGAAGGGCAGAACTAAGGAACTGAACATGACAGTTAAGAGAGTTCTTTGTTTCTCCATCGCTGTCATTCCCCACATCACACAGTACTGGAAACAGCAGCCCTGGCTTACTATATACCCAGCAAGCCTCAAGTCAGAAACTGCTGCCAACCTCTCAGTGTCACCAGCTAAAACGGAAAATGTCCTCAGTGCCTGCAGGACATAACTAGTGAGTGGTCAATGCTGGGCTTCAAAAACTCACGAGGGTCTGTCTCATAACTATTCTTGAGACATTCTGCTCTAGAATTATTCACTTCTTGATTTATATTTAAAAGATTCTCAAGGGTGGGCTGTAGAGATAGTACAGTGGGGAGGGCACTTGCTTTGCATGTGGCTGGCCTGAGTTCAATCCCTGACATGGTCCCCCAAACATCATCAGGAGTAATTCCTGAATTGCAGAGTCAGAAGTACACTGAGCACTGCCAGTTGTGCCCTCCCCACTCCCCCCCAAAAAACAAAAACAAAGATGCTCAAGGGTCTGAGAGAAACCTCAGTGGAAGTGTAGGCTTTGCACTTGGGAAGTTTGGGTTCCCTTCCTGGCACCACTGGTCCCCTGCACACTACTTGGAGCAGCCCAGGAGTAGCCCCAGCACTCCTGCACGTGGCTCTAAAATAAACAAAAGTAACTGGCAAATTTCCTAAAGTCACAAAACACTTGACCTTTCTTTAAAATATATACTGAGAGGCTGGAGCAATAGTACAACAGGTAGGGCTTTTGCCTTGCACGTGACCGACCCGGGTTCAATTCCCAGCATCCCATATGCTCCCCTGAGCACCGCCAGGAGTAATTTCTGAGTGCATGAGCCAGAAGTAACCCCTGTGCATCGCCGGTGTGACCCAAAAAGTAAAGGCCCTCCCATTGATCATCGATTTGCTCGAGCGGGCCCAGTAACGTCTCCATTGGAGACTTTATTGTTACTGTGTCTGGCATATCGAATACTCTCGGTAGCTTGCCGGGCTCGCCGCAAAAAGTAAAAAATAAATAAAATAAAATATATATTGAAGAGGCCAGAGTGATTGTACAGTATGTAGGATGTATGCCCTGCACATGGCTGACCCGGGTTCGATCACCGGCATCCCATATGGTCCCCTGAACACCGCCGGGAGTAATTCCTGAGTGCAGAGCCAGGAGAAAGCCCTGAGCATCGCTGGGTGTGACCCAAAAAGCCCCCCACCCCCGATATATATATAGCAAATATATATATATATAGCACTGGAGCAATAGGATAGCAGGTAGGGCATATGCCTAGCATGCACGTCCAACTCGGGTTCGATTCCCAGCTTCCCAGCATCCCATATGGTCCCCCGAGCACCGACAGGAGTGATTCCTGAGTGCAGAGCCAGGAGTAACCCCTGTGCATCGCCGGGTATGACCCAAAAAGAAAAAAAAATACTGAAGAGGAGGCTTGTTTATGTAAGACCAAGGTCCCTGATGTGAGCAGTACCTTCTCATTTCCAAGGGTCTGAGGCAAATGAAGGGCAGTTTCCCACTGATGCCAACAGCCTATAGGACTGGAAGTATTTACGGATCCTTGTATAAAAGCCACAGAAGAGGGCGACTAACGAGCTGCCAGGACGGCTGCCTTCCTTTCTCACCCTGCTCATCCTCAGACCTTCGGGCACCTCTGGAGATGAACAAATCACTTCCTGTTTAGTCTGAGGCTCTATGAGAACTTCCTGTGCAAACACATGGGGGGTGGGGGTGGGGGTGCACAACCCAGCTGAGATGAAAATGTCCATGAGAAAAGGAAGGAAGAGGCCCATTCTGGGTGACTGGAGGGAATCACCTAGACGCAAAGGCCTCCGTGTAGCCTGCTCTGTGACTCAGTGGCAGGCTGGGAGCCTGTCCCGCTCCATTCAAACCATTGGCTCTGCAGACAGGTGCAGAAATGAGAGGGAGACATTCAGAAAGGCTGCGTCTCTGTATGGAACTATAGCACCCAGACCGGTGCCCTTCTACCAGCTTCTTAGGTGTAGAAAGACACGCCGAATAGCAACTTTGAAATCTGACAAGTTCTGCGCCTCAGTCCCTTAGTCATGAGACAGTGGCCTTGAGGGTGCGATGCTCGGGCTGATGAGGCACCCAGCGGGCTCCCTGAGCATGAATGCCACCGAAGACTTGGGTTGAATGTTCATGTAGTTCAACACGGTGCTGTGAACGATGAGGCAACTGGATGCTCTTTACAAAAACAAAAGGCCACAAGGGCCAGGAAGCTGGCTCAAAGGGCTGGAGCACATGGGGCCCTGGGGAACCCAGCACAGCAGGGAGCAGCTCCCAAGTGATGCCCAAAGCAAAAGAAATGCCATATGAGGTGGGGGTGGGGGACCCACATAGCTCGGGGGCTAAAAGCACCTGTCTTGTGAGCATAAGGCCACGGTTTTGATCCCCGGTGCCACCTGCGTCCACTCAGTTCTGGTGCTTCTGCTATGTGGTACGCCCAGGCACTGCCTGATGGTCTGCTGGTGTGGTTAAACAACCTGATGAGAACGCATGTCTGGCAAACTCCCAACCCGAATGTGCATAAGCATAACCAAGCAAGCGCCCCCTCACCCGCTCTGAGATGCAGCCTGACATACAACCCAGGGCCAGAGATTCATGGGGCTCGCCATGCCCTTGGACCGCTGGCTGAGGCACCTGAATATCCAGAGACCACCTGAACCCAAGCCTGATGAAGCAAGACCGGGAGGAAACTGGAACCTGGAGCATCAGGGAAGTGATTTGTAACCACCTTAGAGCCTGTAGCGAGGGAGAGGCTGCACCATTCACAGACCAGCATGCAACTGTGAGCCTCCAGCACTCCCGAAGGCCAGGCTCTAGCCTCCTCTCCCCAGGCACCTCCCCACTCCAGACTCAATCTGGCAGTACAGGCACAACAGCCCCCCTTTTCAAAATTCTGGGACATATCTGGCAGTGTTCAGGGCTTATTCCTGGCCCTGCGCTCATGGATCACTCCTAGCAGGGCTCCGGAGACCTTATAGGGTGCTGGGAATTGAACCCGGGTCAACTGCATGTAAGGCAAGTGTCCTCCCCACTGTGCTATCAATCTCACCGAGAGTCCCCTTTCACAGATGGAAAAGCTGAGTCCTAGAGCATGTCAACCAGCTGCCCACTGTCCGGTCCTGATGGCGAGCCCAGGCTGGCACGGACAGCACAGCTGCAGGGTGGTGAGGCTACATCGCTCCCGCAGGTAGCAAAAGCTCCCTCGTGGAAAGTCAAGGGCCAATGCACACTGCCCTGAGTCCCCCTGGAGTGGTCCTGTCCAACGTCTCCTCTCTGAGTTTAGACATGGGCTACCAATTATGAAGTTTTGGGGGCCGGGACAGCACCCCGAAGTGGGGCCCCAGCATAAGACAGCAGATACCCTCCCTGAGGCCTCCCAGCACCACTGGGCACGCTGTCTACCACATCACCTCCAGAACTTCAAAGCTTCAGGTTACCCTGGGTGGGGACAATCACTAGGAATGGCCCTGGGGCCCAGGTCTGTGCCATTACCCAGGAGCAAGGTGAGAGCTTGGTGCCACAGCACAGCTGAGAACCCACAGTATGGCTGGCACCAGGCGGGTCAGGAGTCGGGGACACAGGAGCTCTCGCTCTGTGCCTCCCATGCCCACCTCCATGATGAAACACTTCTGACACTACAAAGGGAAAGAAGAAAAAGGAGGGGGCTGTCACCCTCATCCTCACCTTGGCCTCTGTGGATCCCCTTCCAACGAGTCACAGCCCTCTGCACTGCCCCTCTCCTTTAGAAATGTGCCTGAGCCCACCCCGACCCAGGTGGCCAAGAAAACGACCCAGGCCAGTATTCAAGGCCCGGGCTGCACTGAGGGAGGGCTCTTACTGGCAGCGCTCTGATCTCGGGGCTTTGTCTGAAACAAGGAGAGGACAAATAAAGGGGAAACCCCCAACCTCAGCAGAGGAGGAAGCAACAGTCTGGGCGTGGAGCCTAGGCACCCAGCCCACAACCCCCTCCACACCTGTGTGCAAGAAACAGGTGAAAATGGCAGCAAAAGGAGGGTCATTCCAGCAGCCCCCTGGACAAGAAGGCTCTAGAGCCTGGTAGACAGACGGCAGATGAGTGGGCACTGAGCACAGCCATGGCTGTGTGTGTAGTGGGGGGCTGAGGTGCGTGTACCAACAGTACCGTATCACAGGTGCTGACACAGTGAGGATGGCCTGAGACAGTACAAGGGAAGGCACTACTGTGTGCACCTCGATTCCATCCCAGCACCACATACAGTGTCCCATGGGTACCCCAGTTCCCTCTGCCACAATGTGAGCTGTAAGTACAGAAGCAACACACACGTGATCTACTGGGAAGTTCCTGGAGGGCCAGGATCTTGGTATTCTTCCTTTTTTCTTTTTTTTTTTTGAGGGGGGGCCACAAATGGAAGTGCTCAGGGCTTACTCCTGGCTCCGCACTCGGAGATCACTCCTGGTGGGGCTTGGAGATTACAT